AGCCCGATGCGGGACTCGATCCCGGGACTCCAGGATCATGACCTGAGCCAAAGGCAGTCGCTTAACCAACTGAGCCACCCAGGCGCCCCTTATATAACCATTTTAAAATGGAAAAAAACCTTCTTGTCTCATGGCCCATACGAAAACAGATGGGCATGGGCAAGGGATGGGGGCGCCTGGCTGGCTCAGTTGGTAGAGCATGCAACTCTTAATCTCAGGGGTCACTGGCTGAAGCCCCATGTTGGGCGTAGAGCTTACTTTAAAAAACAAAACAAGGGCGCCTGGGTGGCTCAGTCGGTTGCTCCTTTGCCTTCGGCTCGGGTTGTGGTCCCAGAGTCCCAGGATCAAGTCCTGAGTCAGGCTCCCTGCTCAGCGGAGAGTCTGCTTCTCCCTCTGCCCTTCACCCCATTTGTGCTCTCTCTCTCTCTCAAATAAATAAAGTATTTAAAAGTAAATTAATTAATAAAAATAAAAAATAAAAAACAAAACAAAACTGATGGCGGCCCCAGATTTGGTCCATAAGCCAAAGTTTGCTGACCCCTACTTTAGAGAATCAATTAAATATGTATATACTTACATATCTTATATTTACATATCTATGTCCCCTGCTAGACTATGTGCAAGCCCATGTACATTACCTTCTTGTATCCCCAGTGTCTAGCTCAGAGTCCAGTGCATAGTAGGCACTCAACACGTGTTAGTTGAGTGAACAGATGAATGAATGTTTGAACAGTGGCCTGCGCCCCTGTGTGGAGTGAAGCCAGAATCCTGGATGCTTTTTTTCCCACCTTTCTTCATCTGGCTCCTTTTATCAGATGTGTTAGGGTATCACATGCCCCCCACCCCCGATTTGAACCATCTCTGAGTCCCAGAGAGAGAAAAAAGGCAGTGCTCCCTCCTAACAAACTCAAGTCTTCTAGGGTGTCCACAGCTGCTCCTGAAACTTGGTTTTCTCTTTGGTCCCTAGAGAAGTGGCCCAGATATTCTGATGGTCTGTCTCCATGTCTGGACAATTCTTGGCAATGAACTTATAAGTGTCCTGCTATGCAAAGAGGGGAAGGAAACAGAGCTTAGGTCTTTAGGAAGGAGTGAAACAGCCTTGGTGTTAGTAGCAAGGGATTTTCGACAGAGAGGCCCAGATTGCACTAGCCAAAGCAAAGGGAGGTAAGGGAGGAAGTTGGGTAACTGGGGGATTTCTTATTCAGTCTAGTATAAGACCATGTCTTGAAGCCTGACTGTCCACCAGAAAGAAAAGACTGCTCTTCAAGTGAGTTGGACTTCTTTCCACTGGAGTGAGAATTGAAGACTGGGAGACCCAGGTGAGTACTTTTTGTGGTGGGTGTACTTTTACTTTCTCTGTCTCCTCTTCTCCCAGGTGATAAAAATAGGAAAACAAAACAAAATACCTGAGGCCTGTGTGTGTGTAACAGACAAGGGCAAGGGGTCCTATAGTAGCATCCTGAATAGAGAGGGGGGACTCCTGGGTGGTCTTAGGGGAAGGGGAAAAGATTAGAAAGTCAGAGGGTGTTAGGGTTACTGAGAATATCTGGATGGATATTGAAGAGGCCTGGAGTTTGGAGTGGACAGACACTGAGAGATATTTAGATAAGAATTTGGGGAAATTAGAGAGAATCTTTGAGAATGGGAAAGGACTAAGAGAGCCTAAGGAGAGGGTTGGGCATCTCAGGAAGGGTTGAGGATGCAGAGGCCTGGCAATGGCTCAGGAGGCTGGTGAGCTTCTAAAACAGTTCAGGTGTCTGGGGGCCCAGAGCTGTTCAAGAGATCTAAGTCCAAGGCCAGGTTCTGACTCCTTCTTCCCCTTACTCCTTCCACCTCTTTAGCCTCCATGATGCAGAACAACTCCGCCACCAACTTCTCCTGCTACCATGAGTCTGTACTGGGCTATCGTTATGTTGCAGTTAGCTGGGGGGTGGTGGTAGCTGTGACAGGCACCGTGGGCAACGGGCTCACCCTGCTGACCTTGGCCATCCAGCCCAAGCTCCGTACCCGCTTCAACCTGCTCATCGCCAACCTCACAGTGGCCGATCTGCTGTACTGCACCCTTCTCCAGCCCTTCTCTGTGGACACCTACCTCCACCTGCAGTGGCGCGCTGGCGCCACCTTCTGCAGAGTCTTTGGGCTCCTCCTCTTTGCATCCAATGCTGTCTCCATCCTCACCCTCTGCCTTATTGCCCTGGCACGCTACCTCCTTATTGCCCACCCTATGCTCTTTCCCCAAGTTTTCAGTGCCAAGGGGATACTGCTGGCATTGGTGAGCACCTGGGTGGTGGGTGTGGGCAGCTTTGCCCCTCTCTGGCCTATCTATAACTTGGTGCCTGTAGTCTGCACCTGCAGTTTTGACCGCACCCAAGGCCGGCCCTACACCACCATCCTCATGGGCATCTACTTTGTGCTGGGGCTCGGCAGTGTTGGCATCTTCTATTGCCTCATCCACCGCCAGGTGAAGCGAGCAGCACAGGCGCTGGATCAGTACAAGCAGTCAAGTGTCCAGTCCAACCACGAGGCTGGGACAGAGGCTATACCTGGTCATTTCCAGGAGCTGGACAACAAGGTGGCATCAGAAAGGCCCAGTGAGGGGATTTCGTCAGAGCCAGTTAGTTCTGCCACCACCCAGACCATGGAATGGGACTCATCAGAAGTGGGGAACCAGCGCAGCAGGGAGGTAGCTAAGCAGATGGCAGAGCAAAGCCATCCAGAAGCACCAGCCAAGACCAGGCCAACTACAAGAGCCCAAAGAACTCAGGAACCCCCATCAGAGTTTGGGAAGGTGACTCGGATGTGTTTTGCTGTGTTCCTCTGTTTTGCCCTGAGCTACATCCCCTTCTTGCTGCTCAACATCCTGGACGCCAACGCCACTGCTCCTCGTGTTGTCCACATGCTCGCTGCCAATCTCACCTGGCTCAATGGTTGCATCAACCCCGTGCTCTATGCAGCCATGAACCGTCAGTTCCGCCAAGCCTATGGCTCCCTCCTAAAACGAAGGCCCCAGAGTTTCTGTAGGCTCCATTAGAACTGTGTCCCCAGTCATCAGAATCCAAGACTGACTCCTCCAGAACTAAAATGGCCAGCTGGTAGGGAGTAGGTGAAAGTAAGACCCGTGGGCATTTTCACAGACAACTTTCCCCCACCCTCAAACCAGGCTTCTCCCTCCCTTGATCAATGCTTCAGCTCTAGACTGCCCAAGGTGCATTATTATTAATAAATGAATTCTATCCTTTTAATGCTCAGGTGTGGTCTTTGGGGAATAATAGGTCAGGACTGGTTGCAGCTGGAACCTAACAGTTGAGAGTTTGCGGGGGACCTAGGTCATAGCAGGGTTAGGAAGCAGTAGGCCTAGGACACAGCCTTCAACTGAGGGGTTTCCAAGTATAAAACATGAGTTGGTTTAAGAGGATCCACCTGTCTTTTTGTTTAACTTCCCAGAAATGGCCCCTGCCCCTAACTACTGCTGCCAGGATCACCCCATCCACACAAACAGTTTTATTGAACTCAGAAAAGTTTTGTAATCCAGCTTTGATAGCCACTCCAATGAGTCCAGCCCCCTGGCCCTTGCCCTATCCAAAGAGAATGGTCTTGGAAGAGGACTCCTTGCTCTGTGGAAATGAACTGAGCTAAGCTGAAGCAATGGCAGACAGAGAGGGGTTCCAGCTACCCTAGCATTCACAATGGTCAGAGCTAAATCAGCTGAAGTCCTGGCCCCTCACTTTCCCCAGACTTGCCCTTGTCATCCTGGGTTATGAGAGCAGAACAGAGACTCTAGTTAAGAGAGTTCAGGGGTCCAGCTGAGGGGAGACCATATCATTCCCTTCCTCTAGGATGACCAACATCCTGTCAGCCCAGCCACGCACGTGTGAACTTAAAGAAAGTACCTGTGGCCACCAGGTGACGCTGGTTCTCTGTGTTTCCTTTTTGGTGTCCCTGTTGAGTACAGAAGGTGTCAAAGGGACAGGGAGCCCACAGACCACCTCCCATCCAGCCAGCAACGGTGATGACCCAGAGATCCACACCTCTCTCTTTTCCCCAAAGCTTAGGGGAAAAAGTAATGAATTAGACATTTATTATTCATGAGATATTTATTGTCTATTTAGTTGGGGTTGGGGGAGCAGGGTGGGCACTGTGCAGGCACTGAAATGTGAGAGTCATCATGACAGTAATGCTGCTCTGGCCAAATGCTATCCCCTCCCTGCTCCCGAGTCCATGGTTTGAGGGAAACAAAGTGAAGACCAGAGAGATTCAGACAAGGACAGAAACATGCAGAGTCGGGGTGGACAGATCAATGTCTTCACATTCAACACACTTCCAAGTCCCAGGAATCTTGTGTCCTAATCCAGAACATGTATTTCTGAGAGTTCTTCCACAAAAATCACAGCAGCCTAAACTGAGTCAAGTTCAGGCTGCTGAGGCAGGGGCCCAGACAGGTGGGGTGAACAGCAGAACCAATAAAGAACATTAGCCAGAGAGTGTAGAGACAAGGATTCCGGTCAAGGCCTTCTGATAATTAGCTCTGTGAATCTGAGCAGGATCCTGGACCATCTGGGCCACAGGTTTTATCATATGTACAAAGTTCGGGGTGCGGTGCAGTCTTACCATGTGCCCAGTGCTGTCCTAAACCCTATAAATATATTATTTCATGTAATTCTTACAAAATTTACCATGAAGTATTTATTATAATCACATTTCTACAAATGAAAAAATTGAAGCACAGAGAGGTCAAGTAGTTTGTCCAAAGTGGAAGAACTAATAAATGGTATGACCATGATTTGAGGGCAGAGTATCACTTCAGCCCACATGTCTAACCACCACAGGACAGCTGCCTTTCTAAAACTAGAATCAAGTTAACAGATAATCTCTAAAAGTCCTTCCTGCTTAGCCCTTCTTAGATTCTGAAAGTTGACAATTCTCTGAGGGGCTGTAAAAGGGTTCACTTTTCATAATCCTTGGAGGCAAGTAGAAAGGAGCAGCAATAGAGATTGAAGTTAGACCTAAGGGGGGACTTCCCAATTATCGATCGCTGGAAAAAATGACTCACGGGACACAGGAGGAAACTCTGGAGTCTGAGACCAGAGAGGCCAGATCTTAGCAAGAAAACAACCCCCTCCCCTCTCACCCTCGACGGCCCACGCACACACACCCGCCTCTAATTTCGATAAAAACCTAGGAAAAAGCGGAAGAAAAGCAAGGTTCTCTCTCAGGCTTTCTCTCTCCTGTGCGTGTGCATGGCGCGTCTGTGTCCACGCACGAGGTCCCCACGGTACGGCGCTCACGCGTGTCTCGGGGAAGTGTCTGTATTTGGGGGCCCTCGTGAGTGTGAGTCAGTGTCTCTCTCTCTGTCTCTTTATCTCTGTCAGTCTCCCGCGCGAGCCCGAGCTCTATCGCTGACTTTCTGACGCTATCTCTCACAGCTTCTCTTTGTCTCCATCTGTCCGTCTCTCCTGTAAGCTGTCTTCATCTCTTGTACCTCTGTTTTCGCCTTTTTTCCCCTAAACTCCTCTCTCCCTCCTCCCCACCTCCCCTCCCCGCTCTCCCCGCGTCCCCTCCCCAGTCCCCCGCCCCGGCCGTTCTTGCTCGCTCGCACGCTCTCTCTCTCTTTCGCTGTCTCTCACAGGCAGATTTATGGTCAGCCCAGGGCTTCTCATTGGTCAAACGCTGACAGCACTTGATTTAACGCCTCCTCTCATTGGCTGAGCTTGACAGACCGATTTACGAGTCACTCTACCATTGGCCAAACAGCTTGGCCCTGATTTATGGCTCAGTGGCTGCGGGGAAGGGGGGGGCGCAGCTGGGGAGTGAGGATGCCCCTCCCCTCGCCACCGCTTCCGTCTCCTTCTCCACTGCTTTCTCCTCTTTCTCTCCCTCCCCTCAAGGAACCGCGCTCACTGTACCTGTTCCTCATTCCCCTCCTCCCTTCTCTTTCATCCCTCGGGAGGAGAATTGGGGTGTGGTGGTGGGGGGGGATCCGAAGCAGAGGATGGGAACTGGAGGGGTAAACATGGGTGAGGGAGATCTGAGGGGTAGGGGTGGGGTGACAGTAGAGTAGGGAGAGAAGACTGAAGAGGGAGAGAGAATGAACTGAAAAGCGAAGGCGAAACTGAGGGGATCAAAGGGGGTGACAGGAAAAAAGGAAGGCTGAGGAGAAAAGAGAGACTGAGGGACAGAAAGAAGGGGATCTGCGGAGAAGAGAGGAGAGACTGAAAAGACAGGGCGCCTTTGAAGGGGCAAATGGGCTGAAGCGGGGGAGATCCGAGAACTGGGAGACTTCTTTTCAAACCTCACTATCCAGACTGAGTAAGAGACTGAAATTTCCCTTCAGACAATGGCTCTGAAGAGGAAGAGGCTTAGAGGAGCAAAGGCGCAATAGAGAGGTCAGAGAGAGGGGCAGGGAAGGAGAACTGGAAAGTAATGGTGAAGAAAAGGGGGAGAAGGATGGAGAAGACAGAACTAAGGTTGGGGGGGGCGTGTAGTGAGAAAAGACTAATCCCCACAGGAACTACTGAGAGAAATAACGCCTACTCCTCCTACGAAGACCCATAGGCGCCTGCATGGGGTCAAGTCCGGCGCCCCCCCTTTTCTCCCCACCATGTTCTACTTCAAGGCTGCGGTGGACTCCCCTCTCTCTACACCTCACTCCTCCCCCTTGCCCACCTCCTCAGTTAAATTTATGAGTTCAGGGCTGGCCTTCAGGAATTAGGAATATTTATGCTTCTTTGAGAGTGAGGTTTGGAAGGTGATAAATAAGGGGCCATGGTGGGGGGGTGCAGCTGGGGGCTCCTATTTTTAGCGTGACCACTTTCCCAAGGCCCCCACCCACCAGTTCCCTCTCATCCTGAGCCAGAGAAGGGATCGCTGCGGGAGGTGGGGAATGGGTTTCAGATATCAGGAAGGGGGTTTGACTACGCTGGAGAACCCCTCAGAGGACTGCAGATCTTTGCAGCAGAAAGGATTGAAGGCAGTTGGGGGAGGAACTTTCCAAGTATCCTGGCATTCTTATAGACCCTAGAGTGCAGTTACAGCATTTCTGCAGAAGATGGAGAGAAATGGGGAGAAGCTAGTTTCCCCTCTGCCCCCCTAAGCTTAGTTGCTGAGAAATAGGGGAGAAGAGCCAGGAAATTCAGAGGCAGGTTTCTCTGGCATGTCACCTCCATCATAGGGAGAGGACGATTTGAAATCCCCCACCCCCCACAGACCACTACCTGGGTCCCTGGGAAAGGAGGCTAGGAATGTGGGGCTCAGGGCATCTCCTAGGAGTCTAGGCCTCCAACCTGTCCGCCCCCACTGCTGGCTGAGAATTAAAAACAGCCAGTAGTTCTTGATACTCCCTGCCCTGGGCCTCCAGGAAATGAGGGAGGGAGAGGATCTATCCCATGATCCACATGCCTTCTCCAGCCCTCAGCTCCCAGAACCATGTGTTTGTGACCCCCACCCCAGTCAGAGGGCTTGCTCTGGGCTTGGGTAGGTAGTGAACAAAAATAGGGGTTAGTGGGATGGCGGGTGGGGGGGGTTGTCTAAAGAGAAGAGAGAGAGCTGGAGAAGAGCTGCCCCCTCCCCACACACTGTGCCCTCCATTCACTATGGCTTTAGCAAGGACAGCCACAGCAAATGCATGCAAGCACACACACCAGACTCTGCTGCCTGGAGTGGGAGAAGGGAGGGAGAGAAGGGTCTAGACTGGCCCTTTAAGAGCCACTTAGGGTCAGAAAGCCTGGGCTACAGAGAGGGGAAAGGAGCTGATGTCAGAAGACGGATGGGCAGCAAGATGGGGATTGATGCTAATGGGGGAGTTAAAGCTAAGTACTCAGACACTCGGAGGGCAGAACTGCAGATCTGTCTTCCTTATGCTCACCCCCCCCACACACACACACCAAACCAAGGCTGTAAATCTGCCTTCTCAATTGGGGGAAGGGGGAGCGAGGAAAAACGAGATGCTCTCTTCTCCCTTTTCCTGTTTTTTCCTTAACTTGTGCCATCCCCCACCCCAATTCCTTTGTCCTCTCCCAATCTATGACCCTTTTCCCCTAAAATTTCCAATTTTTTACTTTCCATCAGGAATTGAGGTAGTAATTTCAGCTTGTAGAAGGTCTCCTTCGCCAAATACCGGGTGGCAAAGGGTTGGTGGGATTGTGGTGAGAAGCCAGTAGGCTGGAAGCTCCCAGTTGCCTCAGTTTCTCTTCCTTCCACTCTCTTCTCACTTGGAGGTAACTCTAGCAGCCTTCTCCCAGGACAG